GCCTGTCTGTGTGTGTGTGAATGTCTTTTGGGCATGTAATATGCCTCTAATATACCAATACCTATCACAACATACCAAAACACATGGGGGATACTAAAATAATATTTAGTAATGACATAACATTTTTAGTTATGACAGCTGTGTTCATCCCTCTATTTGTTTATGTGTGTGTATGTATGTATGTGCGTATCCTTGAAAGGTCATGCTTGAAGTTCAAGCTTAACGCCTCCACTCCACCGATCACTCAGTTATCGCCCACTACAGTTGATATTTTAATTTATGACCACCCAATAGACAGACTACTTATAATCTGATTAAGCATATATCCATATACATACAATGTAGGTTTATCTTATGCATTTTATTCCCTTCAGTCTCTCACTCAGTCATTCAATTCCCCTGAATTATTCACTAGAAACGATTTTGCCTTGTCTTGATTTTCGTTCAAACGTAGAGGCATTCGAAATAAGTAAATAAATAGATAAATAATCACAATATTACAGAAAATCAAAACGAATAGAAGCATATGAACATCGCTACTAATGCATTCATACTGAAAAGTGGTTATGTGGCTACATCCCTGTATTGATTTATGCATATTTGTGTGCGTGTAAGTTCAAATGTGGATTCCCGAGGTATTATTGAATAAAGATTTAACAATATCAAGTTACTTACATACACCATTATGAACACAATATATATTTATCATTATCAAGTAAATGTATGTATAAAACTTGGGTACTGTGGTAGTAAGTAATTCCATAATAGTTTGTTTATTAGATCGGGTATAATTCAACCCCTCCTCTGACAGTTCATAAACTTTTGCATCCTACCTATTCCTCTCTATTGCTCACCCTTATTCTTTCCTAGTTCGCTTAAAAAGGACTATGTCACAATGCGTAGAATGCTGAAGACTGTCAGTAGGGTAAGTGGTATCTCAGTGGACCACAGAGTGAACGTCGTTGTCGACAGGCACTTGACTGCGTGCAATAAATTTGTCTGACTTAGAGCATCCACTTTACCCTCACAGCTTTCACCTTGCATCTCCTCAGGTAGAACATGAAGTAACTTCAGAAAACTGTATGCTGCCATGTCTAAGTAGAGAAATTCTATGATACCACACTTGGCACGTATTTTATGTGATGAAGATAGTGTCAGGCAAGAATTAACTAACATTTTTTCATCAGCTAAGGTAATAATAATAATACAAGTTAAAACTGCTGTGGCTTGTTTCACACAGTATTGGCAATGTGGTATAAGAATCCCAACATGTTTAAAAATATTGAATATAATGTTCTCTTTCCATGATATGGTGAGGGGAAAAACAAAGATTACAGCAGTCACGGAGATAAGTTTTTTTTTGAACAAGGCATTTAGAAGACAAATTTCGCGAGATGATATCATTTCGTAGTTTCTTTACAACCGCTTTACAACTAACATGGTTAACAATGATAAAATAAAGTTCATGAAAATTACTCAGTTAAATAAAAACAAAAGTACAGACTAATGACCAATCATATTAAGATAGGTCATGCAGTCCAGGGTAGGCGAAGATTGAAGTCTATTGATCATATCAAAAGTCCTAACGCGATTAATCTTAATAGAAATCCAGCATCATCCATTGCAAAACACTTATTAATGTCTGGTCACAAAATCAATCAATATTAATGACTGTTTCACAATTATTTCACATAACTCTAATTCAAGGTTATTGAAAGTGATGGAAGCACTTTGGATTAATCACATACAGCCTAAACTGTGTGTACAATAGACTTCAATCTTCGCCTACCCTGGACTGCATGACCTATCTAAATATGATTGGTTATTAGTATGTACTTTTGTTTTTATTTAACTGAGTAATTTTCATGAACTTTATTTTATCATTGTTAACCATGTTAGTTGTAAAGCGGTTGTAAAGAAACTACGAAATGATATCATCTCGCGAAATTTGTCTTCTTAATGCCTTATTCAAATTTATCAAAGGGACTAATTGTTTTAAGTTTTTTTTGTTGATTACAGCTTGATCCCACACTGTATTTTTGGTACAAGTATGGAATTTTCAGCATGGATATCGGTAGGCCAAATTTTGCAGGCCGACCATAGATATCAGGTGTGCGTCGTCAGAGGATCGAACCTCGGACCATGTGCATGGTCGGCGAGAGTCCTAACCGCTATGGCACCAACGCACAGGGTAATTATTAGGTTTCAAAGCTTCTCTCATATGCCTCAATTCCTATCTTAGAGTTTTTCCTTGGTACTACTTATTTTTTGTGCTCTATTACTTAAACATCTCAACAATCCTTTTTTCAATGACATAGAATGTGATGATCGGAAGCCCAAATATCTGTTTTAATGTATGGGTTTCCTGTAAACACACTAGTGTTTAACTTCGCATCTTCTTTCTTTTTTACGGTACAGTCTAACATTGGAAGCTTCTCTTCCTGACTTTTCATTTCATCATAAGTGAATTGAATTGCCTCTAATTTTGAGTTGATCTGTTCGAAAAATCTATCTATATCCTGTGTTCTAAGTACAGTGAATATGTCATCTAGATACTCCTACCATACTTTAAAGGGGAGGGGCTGAACATCTCAATCGCTATGTAATCCCAGACATCCATGAATATATCTGCCACAAACGGGGATATTGGTGACCTCATGACAACTCCCTCACTTTGTTTTAATATGGTTGACAATGAAGAAAACAAAATAATTACAAGAACAGTGATCAAGAAAGGTACTTATTGTCAGTTAGAGCTTTCTCACGAACTACTGTGATTCAACTCAATCAGTTAGCTAACCACTCTTTCCTACGACTTATGCTAACAGTCATTGGCTTTAGGAAGTGATATCATTTCATTATATGGTGACCCTTTAGTTCAGCAGTTGTTAAGTAGACTGCTGGTACAATTAGTTCGAAAACAAAGCATACTATGCCGTTTACATAACTGGCTATAATGCAAACTTGGAACGTCATTTCTGGATCAATAAAGTCACGAATAATTGGCCATATTCTTGTAACATTCTGCGTACAAATTCTTATACACATAGTCTTCCAATAACTAAACCACAGCTTGGGTAGCGTACCACATAAAAAGAAGCAAAGATTAGATAGATGTGGATCCTGAACATATGAGAGAAGTGCCTCAAACCTACAACAACCTCATTGAACAGTTCTATGATGGTGCCACATTTGTCAAGTGATTCAAAAGAGAAAATAAAGTTTTCAGATAGTGGTTTTTGTAGGAATTTAGTTTGATTGGTTGGAGGACTTCATCCGCCGGGGTTCGAACCCAGGACCTTCTCAGCTGTGGCGTATAAAGTAACGACAGGGGTAAGATAACACTGCCTTCTATCACCTATAAAATTCTTGATCATAGTGAATTGGATCAGGCGCCAAATCCGAGGGAAAGAGACTACAGGAAAAAGTTGCTCCGACAAGAAGACTCTGTAAGATGTGAACTCTAAGGGATGCGTTATATCTAATCTCATACAAACTAGAAGATCTTCAGGTGAATACTTACAAACTGTCAAAAGAAGCGAGCAGCGAAGAGAGGATTTTAAATGAACATACAGAAGACGGAGGTGATAAAAATAACCAGACAACCATCAGCACAAATGACTATCAATGGAAGAAATTTGGATGATCGGCAGTACGCACCCACAGGAGTTCGAACCCAGGACCTTCTAGTTACAAGGCAGGCAAGATCGTATACCATACAGCCACTGGGACCCAACCTGATTCAATAGCCAGCCCATGAATTCTAACTCCTACCAATTCTTGATTTAGCGCTACTGGCGCCAACCAATGTCATCCGTGGAAATCCATCCTCACACTTAACTGGATGGACCTCACTGGTCACAACTTATCATGGGAACTCCAGGAAACTCCGTTCTGTAGCACGTCACTAGCTGAATGGTATACGAGCTTGCTTTGTAACCGGAGGGTCCTGGGTTGGAAACCCAGTGAATGTGTACTGCTGGATATTCCCAAACTAGTGGCATAAAACAGCTATCCATTACTCCCTGGTGGTTTACAATGGTTCTTTAACTGATATTAATCCATAGTCAAATTAGTGAAAAATTTAATCCTTAAAAACCAATTCTTAAAAATTTGAATTAGGTTACTTCCTTCACTTATCCAGACATTCAGCATCATTTCAACTATTAGCGGTACGGATGAAGATACCGAAGATTGAATCAGAAAGGCAGGGTACGCCTTCATTAGCCTGAAACCAGTTTGGAAGTCTTCTGCACTCAGTATAAATAAAAAATTTGGGATTTTGCACATTAATATCAAGTCAACCGTAAATGGGTCAGAAAAATGACGCATCGCATAAAAGCATTTCAAACAGCTATAAAGGTTTGGAAACACGAAATTCTTTGGAGAAACCGATGAAGAACATTTGGCTCAAGAAATATTCCGAATAAAATGAAGATGTATCGGATACATGTTGAGGAGAAGGTTAGATGGCACGTAGCATCACGCCAGCGCTTGATTAGAACCCGAATAGGAAACAACGACTAGGGCGTTTGAGGCTGGTCTGAAAGAGTTGAAAGGTCATTGGGAATCGTGCAGATAACTAAGCAAGACTGTAGAGAACACGATGGAATGGAGACTTTCTGTTGAAGCCGCATGTTCCATAACTCCAAATCCAGGGAATAATGATGATAATAATATCATAATGTTTACCGAAGACGCTAAGTGGTGCAACGGAACAACTCCACTAAGTGATTGACGATTCCTGCTACACCAGTCAAAAACAGTATACTTCAAATGCTTGGAACCATCACATCATTCTACTCGAATAAACTGATTCAAGTGTATATCTCAGTAAAGGACTCAATTTATCACTGCAATACTATACATCATCACTCACTGGGGAATGCAGGTGTATCCAGATGGCGAGTCCCGAATAGAACGAAATGCACGGACTAGTAATTCTACACATGTATATACACACATATATATTCAAGATAATAAACAGAAGAATCACTCACCTATCAGCCACAGGTTTTGTATAATTTCTTTCTAATACTCCTATAAATATTGGAATTTTTTGTAAATAATCCAGATAACGTGTATAAATTTCATAGTCTGCATTAAAGTTGACATATGTCTCATCGAAATAAGCACTCAGTAGACCGGACCAATCGTAAGAATTTCCATTGACGTTTAATTCACTAAGTTTTGCTTTCTTCGACCATTTCGATGGTGTTGTACTTTGATAAAGCTGAAGAATAAAAGAGAGGGAATGATGAGGAGAAATGTTGACGAGGCGGGTAAAAGGGAACAGAAACCCTTTAAAATTGAATCAAAACCAAGACTTGGTAATACCTAATTTCATTATTGTAAAAAGGTGTTTTCTATTTCTCAGTGAATGAAAAAGACAAAACGATTCTGCTGTTGTTTTGACTGATGTTTCGCTATTTAATGATGCTTGTGTGCGTCGGTGGCACAGTGGTTAGGACTCTCGCCTACCATGCATATGGTCCGGGGTTCGAGCCCACGCCGACGCACACCTGATATCTATGGTCGGCCTGTGAAATTTGGGCTACCAATATCCACGCTGAAAATTCCATACTTGTACCAAAAATACGGTGTGGAATCAAGCTGTAATCAAAAATAAAAAAATAAAAAATAAATAATAGCTTTATCAAAGTAGTAATAATAAACCAAAATTGATAAAATCTCAGTTTATATATGCAGCAACTTAATAATCATTCATCAGCATGGAGTGATTTTCACCTTTTCAAGTTGGCCAATTAGTAAACATAACAGAACCCGAGTTTTTAAATGCCTTCGCTTTCTCAGTGGAACGTAGGGCTTCAAGCTAGAGGCTTGAAGTTTCTGTAGCAGTGGTGATTATTTTTGACAGGATGGGGTTGCTAACCTCATGCCCAACCTTTCCTCTTCACTAGTTTTATTTCTGGCTGAGTAAGGTAAAGGAGTGCGCCTGCCGGGGATCGAACCCCTGACTATATGCATGGTAGGCGAACGTCCTAACTGCTATGCCACCAACACACAAACCACATGTAGATTGTTGGAATTGACAAGTGTATGAAATTATTAGAACAGCTTGTGTTTTTACATAATGAAATGGCTTATCCCACATTTGTTTTTACGAGTTTGATGGCGCACAGATGGATATCAGTTAGAGAACCAGTGGAAACAAGCAGGAGTACTGGACAGCTAGTTGTTTTATACTAGTTTGGGAATCATTGGCAGTACGCACCCAAAGGGGATCGAACTCGTAGAAACAGATTTAATCCTTACAAACCAACTCCTTATTCTTATATCAACTCTTGGTTCTGTCACTTCATGGATGGAAGTTAGGTTGTTGAAACCAGATGAAATTCTGTCTTAGTCCATCATCACTCTTATTCAGACAAGGTGGATTTCATTTATTATGAAGTGCTTCTAATATTAGGCATTCTATATGATTTCTGAAGTTATTCTGCATGATTTCAACGTTGTCAAAATCAATTTTGTGATGTGATTCTACTTAAGCATGTAGGCCATTTATAAGTGATGATTTATCAAACTTTCCTAGTTCGCAAATGGATTTACCGGTAGTCAAACAGGTGCTCTACTGTGTTGAATCCTTCTCATTTTGACTCCTGTCTGATGAAGTTTGTCCAAAGTATATTGCATCATATGCAAGCCAAAAGTTTTATTTCATAGATACAACTGCATTGAGAATCCTTGATAATTCGGTCACTTACAAGGGAAAGGTTGTTTTGTTGTGTGTTTAGGTGTATGCGTGTGATGTTTTGAAGACAAATCTGATGTTACGCGTTTAATGCGTACTCTTCTGATATCTATCTTCAGGCGTTTCTAATCTACATTGAATGACAACAGTAGATATGATAGGGAAGATTTGTAGCTCAGGTGGATGATTTTGATGTGGTTTTGTTCTCTGAGCGTGATGGTTAGTTTGCGAAGCTTTCATCACCCTACTGGGTGACATCTTCAGCGCATACTTCAATTTGAAGTGAGCTTTCAGGTGTCTCCACGAGTTTATTATTCATCCCTCCTGGTGACCTTGGACGTGATTGGTTGTTTATGGACGTCTTCGAAAAGAATGGATATCCAAGGAATTTCACAAGTAGACATATACCCCCAAGCCAACCTATCAAACCAAAAGCCTCCAAGGAAAGTACAAAGAAAACCGCCTTACCGTATATAAAAATATCTCAGAAATCACTACAAGACTCTTCAAACCTTCAGGAATTGACATCGTACACAAACCAACAAAGTCACTTCACTCAATTCTATGTCAACCAAAGGACTCAACAGCGAACGAAGATAAAACCAACACCATCTACAAAATAAATTGTAACAACTGCGAAAAACACTACATTGATCAAAGTGGACGTCCCCTTCATCTTCGAAACCATGAACATAAACTAGCTATCAACAGACATGACATCCACTCTCTCGCTTATATCGCTGCATACAGAAAACCACGGGCATCAATTCAACTGGGACAACCAACGTTCAGATATTAGACAGAAGAAACACCGAGAATACTAGTATTCTAGTGAATCATCGATCAATGGACAGATTGTGATAGACAAAATATACCAGTCGATAAGAATGAATTCCCACACACATACACACACAAAGGGTGAAAGTTCAAGTCAGGGAAACAATCAGCACCAGTTCCAATACAAGTAGCCTAGATGATGTGAAAACACACAAAAACAACCAATCACGTTCAAGGTCACCCACCAGGAGAGATGACTACTAAACTCGTGGAGAAACCTGAAAGCTCACTTCAAATTGAAGTATGCGCTGAAGATGTCACTCAGTAGGGTGATGAAAGCTTCGCAAACTAACCATCCAGCTCAGAGAACAAAACCACATCGTTGACAACTGTTCAGGTGCATGTCTTCACAAATACTTTTTCGATCATGTTGAACGTCGGTGTCGATTTTTTAGTTTTATATCACCGCTTTGATAAAGCTCTTAACAGCATTATATATCGAAACGTCCGTCAAAAACAAGAACAATATCGTTTTGTCATTTTCATTCAATGGGAAAATGCAAAAGAATCTTTCTAATAATGAATGCCACACATACCAAATGCTCAGATGTTTTTTTCAAACTGTTAAAAGTGAACTGAGTTTGGACATATTTAAAGCCTAATTTATCTAAATCGATCGAGAGGTGATTTGGAAACTACTTAGCTACAACCAAGGGGTGCGGTCAACGATTAAACATCTCACATGACATTTGTACGACAATGCTGGATGGCAAGTAATCCACAACGGGAAACTCACAGAATCCTTCGAAGAAGTGTAGACGGGAGTAAGACAAGTTGGCTGCCTACTATCTGGAATAGTTTTTCTGGTTGCGGTAGACTCAATAGTGCGACAGACAGACAGACAGCGGGTAGCAAGGAAACAGGCATAAAATGGACCCTTACAGAAAACTTGGACGATTTACATTTCACCGATGATATATGTCTGATTTCCGACAAACATAAACATAAGCAAGTGAAAGGCAACAAGTTGGCGATAGAAGTATCCGGAGAAGATAGGACTTCAGGTAAACGTAGAGAATACAGAGTTAGATGATAAAGATTCCTGGCCAACAGCGACAAAACAGCAACAACAATAGACAACAATAAGCATAAATTGGAGAAATCTGAAAGAGGCAACCTCCTTTAACTAGCTATCTACCTGATAGGCATCGTTTCATTACGAGCAGTCAGTACTGATGCGGATATCGAAGACGGGATCAGGAAGTCAAGATAAGCTTTCATTACTCTCAAGTCTGTGTAAAGGTCAACAGCACTCAGCATGAACATGAAAATATCAACCGGGTTTTCAACTCCAATGTGAAGTCAGTGCTACCTACTATACGGATCACAGACTTGGCGCATCACGATATACTATTCAAACATACTACAGACTTCATCAAGAGCTGTCTTCTCTCAATACTTCGATCAAGATCAGATGGCCAGCCAGAAAAGATGAGAAACAGAGATCTCTGGAAGAGAAAATCAAGCAAAAACCTCACTGTGCAATAAATCTCCCGAAGAAATGGAGGTGGAATGGATTAGCCATAGTCTGAGAAAACGAATCATTAAGTGACATCACACGCCAGGCCATCGCTCGAGTGGAACCCGAACGGAAGTGTCGAGTTGGTCTTCAGTGCTAGGGCAGGGGCACATGAAACTGGTGATGTAAAGAGGAGATGAAAGCATGTGAGCAGAGATAGAGCCAGATGAGAAGGTTGACAGAGAACCAAACGCAATGGAGACGTGAGTCTGAAGCCCTATATTCCTCTAGGAACTAAAGGAAACAATAATAATAATTTGTCGAAATGATGGTAGACAAGAAGTCTATAAAATTACCATGGGCAATGAATATTAGAGACAGAATAATGGCGAAGTATTTAACTATGTCTTGTATTCAGTTCACTTCAAAAATATTATCACTAAATGAATTTCTATGCTGTAATGGCGTAATCTAATTCGAATTGTTTTAAACAACGCGGATAATCGGATCATATAAATATAAATACATATTTCAGTTATCCTCATTTTACTATTGAATAAAAAACGTTGTACAGGTGTTCCGATTCTATTTTCGAAATTTACTTTTTATTGAACATTGAATTAAAGCGAAATAGGGACAGTTCAGTGTACAATAAATTAACAGGTGTTTGAAAATTTGTTCAGTTCGTCTAGGTTCGCTTCTTCTGCTTCTTCTACTTTATTGTTATTCAAAAAAAGTTGAAAAAAGGAGCCATGTGTTGTTCCTTGTTTGTTAGTTTAAACAAACAAGCAGGCGAACAGACAGACAGAGAAAATATGTGGAGAAAGATCTCGACGGTGGCGGGGACGATAGGGGTTAGAAGAGAAGAGAATAGAGAAAGACACCAGACTAATATTTATTCCTGTTTGCTTCACATTCGCCCAGAATCATTTCGATTACGAGATAGAGGGGGAGGCGAAGAAGGACGAGGCATATATGGTGATGTAAATTAAAGTTAAATGTTTTATGTTCTGTGTCAACTGTAGAAGACAAGAAAAACAGAAAAAGGAGGAGAACATATTAACGACGATAAATCTTAAATAATAATTGACTCTATTTTAAGAATTTCCATGTTTTTTGATGATATCATGTCTAGCGTGAAGGATATTCATGAACTGTGCATTACACAATCACATAGAATTTTAAACGTTAAAACACTTGATTACGTGAACAGTGACATATTCTATGAGTATGCATATCATTTAGAGACTTGATTAGGCTAAATGGATTACGTCATTTTGTTGTAATTTATAAAGGCCAGATAACTTTAGTATTTCGTTGACACTAAAAGAATTAATTGCTTGTTGGTATTAGATGGTTGTAGGCAATCGGCCACAGGAAGCTTTGACTGACGTAGGTTTCTTGCTAGTTGGCACTCACCAGTCAGCATGGCGTATCTGCAACCTTGAAGGAACTCATGTCCCTCCTCCTGAGATTCGAACCTGCGTCAGCCAATGTCACAGACGTTTTCACCACTGAGCTATTTGGCCTCGCGATTGACCTCCTGTAGGACTATATTGATATTTTTGATTCAAGACTAGTCAGTAACTAGTGTAATGTGTCTAGTCCTATCTTTGGTGCAGACTGAAATCTACCAGCCAAGCTGGCAGTGTGGCCACCATGCTAGGTGACTCCCCATCAGGAAGCCTTACGTGACCTAGGTTTCTTGCTATCTTCAACCTAGAAGGTCGATGTCGAACCTGATTAGCTCAGTGGTGATAATGTCTCTAATTGCAGCACACTGGGTGACGCCGTTTCAAATCTCAGAATTCGCATGAGTACCTTCGAGGTTGCAGATACGGCTTGCTGATGAATGCCAACTAGCACAAAATCTAAGTCCAGCAAGGCTTCCTGTAGCCGATTGCCTCCAACCATCTAATACCAAGAATTCACAGTGCAGTGTGATGGCGAGCAACCAGCATAGTGGCCATATTGCAAGCTTGATCAATAGAATTCAGACGGCACCGAAGATAGGACTAGACACATTACACTAGTTATTGACTAGTGTCCAAACAAGTGCTATATCAGAAAACGGAGGTTATTCAAAAAATATGGCTGTGAAGTATTTGAGCCATCTACATTTCGGACAACCTGATCACTCAAGCATTTAATTGTCAAATCAATTCATATTCACTGATGCAAAGGCTTGAAAAAGTAATCCTAACAAAGATCGAAACCGAAATTCGGAAACGTTAAGTAGATGACACATTTGTTATAATAAAAAGAAACGTGCTGGATAAAACTCACAACCTAACAAACAACGTATTCAACGAGAAGAGTAGAGGAAACCGAGAACAAAATCCTATTTTTGGACGTCTTAGTCAAGTGAACAACAACAGGGGAATTAGAAACTAAAGTTTATAGAAAATCGACTCACACAGACCAAGTCCTGAATTACAACTGCAACAATCTAATAACACACAAACGGAGTTATATACAAACACTATTCAAGAAAGCCAACCAGGAGTCATTGCAGCACTGCCACCTTGAGAAAAAAATTGAAGGAAGATATCTCATGAATGTCTTCCAAAAGAATAGATATCCAAGGAATTTCACAAATAGACATATACCCCAAGCCAACCTATCAAACCAAAAGCCTCCAAGGTAAGCACAAAGAAAACCGCCTTACCATATATAAATGATATCTCAGAAATCACTACAAGACTCTTCAAACCTATAGGAATTGACGTCGTACACAAACCAACAAAGTCACTTCACTCAATTCTATGTCAACCAAAAGACTCAACAGCGAACGAAGATAAAACCAACACCATCTACAAAATAAATTGTAACAACTGCGAAAAACACTACATTGATCAAAGTGGACGTCCCCTTCATCTTCGAAACCATGAACATAAACTAGCTATCAACAGACATGACATCCACTCTCTCGCTTATATCGCTGCATACAGAAAACCACGGGCATCAATTCAACTGGGACAACCAACGTTCAGGTATAAGACAGAAGAAACACCGAGAATACTAGTATTCTAGTGAATCATCGATCAATGGACAGATTGTGATAGACAAAATTTATCAGTTGATAAGAAGGAATTCTCTCACACACACACAAAGGGTGGAAGTTCAAGTCAGGGAAACAATCAGCACCAGTTCCAATACAAGTAGCCTAGATGATGTGAAAACACACAAAAACAACCAATCCCGTTCAAGGTCACCCACCAGGAGAGATGACTATCAACCTCGTGGAGGAATCTTAAAGTTCACTTCAATTCAAATTGAACTGTGCGTTGAAGCCTAGCCTAGTGGTGGGGCTAGATAGGAGTAGACACATAACCCTAGTTATTAGTATCCACTCAAAGAGTCTCTTCACTGAATCACCACTTATTTTGATTTTCTATACATTACATAAATATTCTTCGGTATCAAGTTGTTCTTATTACTATTAATAAAAGTGATTATATTCAAAAGTCCTGTTAATTGCTAAACATTTTAAATTTAAATCAACAAATAATTGAACACCTTGAAAGAGAGAAAGGCAATTTGTTATAATTAACTAACAAAAAAATATATACCTTATTTAATTCACTTGCAACAAGTTTTAAATCATCTGTAAATATACGTATTCTTTCTTTATATTCTTCATTCCCATATGGTATACCAGCATCTTTGGCTAAAACTTCTAGAATACTTTTTACATAGGTATTAATCTGAAAATGAGAAGGGACATAAAAGCAAATATATGAGTAGAGGATTAAACGGTGATTGGTATTAGTTAATACTAATTAGCTAGAACAACCCATGATGGGTAACTGAATCAAGTAAGAATCACCTATACAGATGAATCCCTTGAAATTGAATTAAGAGATATTTTCTACCAATGGCAGTGTGTTTCCGACTTCTTTGTACTGTGGAAACTGTCGCCATTTGCATCGAAAAGCCAGAGCTATGTGTTCAAAAGAATTAATTAATTTTCTATACTTGTTTTGTGAGGACTTTTTTCTTTTTACGAGTTGTTCACGGATTGATATCAATTATCAATGGCTGTCTAACTGATATGAATCCGTGATCAACTTGTAAAATTAGGATATCCCCTAAATACTCTTGTCCGAATGGGTTATCCTGGAAGACTTGTGAGGAGACACATAAACGTATAAAATAAACAGAAACTGACAACATGATTAAAAAAAAAACTGCTCCTCAAACTGCAATTCAGTGGAGACTTGGCTAGTGAGGTCCTACATCTAAAATTATCTGCAACCATAAAACGGACTTATACTGCCGCTACAACCCTTTATTTGTCATTTCCCATCTGACCGGTTATGATTGCTCAAGCGAAAGATAAGCCGCCTAACTGCCATACTTCTATGTGCACATTTAGCTGCTCCTTTAGAAACAGGTATACAGGGCAGACAGCTAGACAGCTCAACAACTGTAATAATGAGCATCTTCCTTGATGATTCGCAAAAGATCAAGTAAAATCCATAAGAAGTTCTCAGTTGTCTCATTTGATTGATAGCAGTCACTAATTGGATAAAAGAGGTGCTTTCAAGGTTATCTATCGTGTACCATCGAACCTTTAGAATGGAATTCAAACTAACGTTTTATGCATATTTGAAGCAATGGGAATGCAACAGAATATTCCTACTGCCTTTGTACACAAAAGAAATTTGTTCTACCTTTTGTTATCCCTTGGTCTAGGTCCCATCCTTTCTTGTTTTCCATTTCCTTTGCACTTTTATGATATTTATTTAAATCTTCAATATTGCCCTAATTTATTTATTGAATTGTCTACATATACACACATGGCTACCTTCTCTATTCTTATCACCACGTGGATAAACCTTTTTGCCATTTATTTTTCTGTCATTATAGTCATCGCTCTTACTGATGTTCAAAACATTTAACACATTATTGTAATAATTTGATGCACAAACTCGCCGTCATTGGTTATATTTCTTAGATATAAAACTATGTAAATTAGAGTAAAGCCGAAAGAAGAAGATCTAATTGAAGACAACAATATTGTCCACTTATGTGTCTTGTTCTGACTAGACTGAATTTCCTTGGAAGCACTGAAAACGCATCCATAAACCTCAGGGAATATTGCCACATCACAACTGTGGAAAGTTTTGCAGGAAGGAAAGATACCTACTGACTGAAAGAAAGGCTACTTCGTCAAACTATCAAATAAAGGTGATTTATTTCTTTGCAGACACTGGCCTGGCATTATGTTCTTGTCTAGAGCAAGTAAAATATTCGGCCGCGTCTTCTTTGAGAGACTAAAAGATTAACTGGATGGAAAATTTCGTCCTATAGGACAAGCTGGTTTTAAGAAAAATAAATCATATGTAGAACTAATTCCAACTCATCGAACAGGCACATAAATGGAAGTCACTTCTCTCTCTATCTCTGCCTCAACTTTATCGATTCGGAAAAGGCTTTTGATGACAATGACTGCTTCAAAACTTCTGAGTGACCAAAATCTTCATCAACCTAATTCCAAACATTGTTATTCAAAAGAGTAGGCTCAGAAAAACGTCTGAATTGAAGACATCAGTAAGGTTGGGCCCTCTACTTGCACTAATGCTGGTTCTGAGTTTGGTGGACTGAATCATGCGGAAGACTGTGGGAAGCAAGAAGGCAGGAATATATTAGACCAACGACAAGACTTGGAAATGTGGAACTTCCGGACGATTTGTATCTAATATCACACAAACTAGAAGGTTTACGGGTGAAAACCAACAAGTTGAGAGGAGATGCAGAAAAGAGTGAACTTCAGGTGGACATAGAGAAGACAGACGTGATGAAGGTATCCAAGCATCAGCAAGAAGCATTAATCGCTGTCAGTGGAAGAAATTTGAAAGAGGTCATCTGCTTTACTTATCTAGGCAACATCGTTTAAACTTCAAGCAGTCGGAATGGACCAGGATTTCAGGGATATCCGAGATCTTAGAATCAGGACAGACATACATTACAATGAAAATCCGCTGCGATTTGCATAAGGAACAAAATTTGAATCCTCAGCATCAGTCTAAAATCAGTGTTTCTATCTGGTTTAAAAACTTGATGCGTACGTTACTCAGAAGCATTTCCAGTTGCAAGCCACTGAAGACTTTCAGCAACAGCTGCTTTCACCCAGTATCAAAGATCAGATTGTTGACCCAAAAGGGTTGATATTAAGAAACTCAGGTGACAGACTAATGGAGACCATATCGTTCGACAAATATGCTGAAGTAAACGAAGGTGTATTTGACACATGTTAAGGAGATCGCTGAGTGACGTTGTGCTTCAGGTTATCGTTCGAGTGGAACTCGAATGGGAAGGTGGAAGTTGCTCTAATGGTGACATAGATGAGATCGTGTAAGGAGGACTTGGGTGGCTAATTTCACGCCCAGTCTTTACATAATGAGTGAATGCAACATCTTCGCCAATGATTCTGAGCAGCTCTAAGACCTTAGCCAAGTAGTCTGCACCTACCTACATAACATTTATATTGACTATCATCACCACATGATTGGTGCACTTTCCATGTGAAACTATGTATATATATGTAATTTTTAATTTTGATTACACGTTGATTTCACACCATATTTCCGGTACAGGTATGAAATTTGCAGCATGTGATATCGGTAGCCCAAATTTTGCAGGCTGATCATTGATATCAGGTGTGCGTCGGCCGGGAATCGAACCCTTGACTATGTGCATGGTCGGTGAGAGTCCTAACCGCTGGGCCACTGACGCACAGGGATTTGATTGTTCAAAGGATTGATCACAAGATGGCGTCAGTTAGAGAGCCATTGGAAAACCAGTAGTGGATTACCGGACAGCTGAGTCATCCTAATTTGTGGAGCTTCTGCAGTATACACCCACCATCAGGGTTTGAACACAGGACCTTCCAGTTACGAGGTGAGCTCATAAGCCATCCAGGCACTGGGTTTCGATCCGATGATCAGTCCATGAATTCCAACTTCTGCCAATTCGTGATAAATCTCACTGGCAAATAACTGTCATGTAGCCTAACTTCGTGGATCCAGTTGGCTAAGACGTTTTGGTAGAACCGTAGATATCTTCCTATATAGCACCAGTCGTTGATGAGCATCAGATTAATTATCGAAAGTTGGTTTGCCGGGATTTGATTGGTTACAAGATTGATATTAGTATAGTGCCGTTGACAAGGAACTCATTGGGGACGAATGTACATTTCTTCACCTAATTTGCTATTTTCTTGATTAACAAACAATTAGTCAGTATCCTACATTTGGTAGTTGGAGACTGCCAGTTGTGCTTGTTGGCACTCGTCATTGAGCCTTATCTAAAGCCCTGAAGGAATTAATGTCCCCTAGGAGATTCAAACCCACACCACCCATTGCTGTCGTCAAAGATGTTATTACTGAGGTATTTGAGCTCACAAATAACCTCCTATGGAACTGTAGTGCATACAATGATTGGCCACTTCGGCATGTATCTAATATTATGCACCTAGTTCCAGGTATTAGTTTAGTGTGGATTGAATTCAATGACAGTTAAGTTTATAATATGATCACCATGTTAACGTGAGTTGATTGTTACGTAGTGATCAATATCCAATGGATACAAATGGATGTGTAGAATACAGAAATAAGCATGTTTTTTCTGTTTTTATTTTTTTATATTATTGATACAATTTGCAACGAAAGATGAGTGAAAAAGTAAGAAAAAAATTACCACTGAAAGAAGCTATACATGTGAATAAAACTGCGTTAGGAGCAAATGTTTGTATGTTTGTTAGTTTGAGATATTGAATGATGAAATATCTTTTCACAGTTGAATAGATTTACACATTTATTCGATTCACTGTATGTTTATCAATGAAACAAAATTGATTCCGACCAGTGAGTGATTTTTAATCTTGAGACAAACTGAATGCAACTATTGCTATTTATGCGTCCGTGGCGCAGTGGTAGAATGCTCACTAACCACACTTGTGGTCTGGGGTTCAATACTCAGCCACAGACGCACTCCTTTACCTCGCTAGGCCAGCAACTAGATTGGTAAAAAGGCGAGGTTGAACATGAGACTAGCAACCCTTTCCCGTCAAAAATATCAATAGCAGTGCGACAGAAACTTCAAGCCTCTAGCTTGAACTAGCCCTATATTCCACTGGGAACGTAAAGGAATAAAAAATGGCTATTTATACGATTGAAGTGGTGAGTTAGGGAATTCAGTAAGGTAGATCCATTCTGATGAAGCAAATTTTGTTAAGTATACTAAGAATCTGATCGTTTCTATGCCGGCGATTACTTGTTAATGAATGAAATCAGTCAGCGGTCTATTTCAAATGGTACTAGGCTGAATTCTTTCAAATGTGTTAGATTGTCAATTTCACTTTTCGATGCGTGTGCCGTCTACTTTCTCTTCGTGCACTTTCGGTAGACCACATAAGCGGGGAATAACGGAACCTAAGGGTCGTATTTGTTCAAATAATTCAGCCTCACTCAATAGCAATTTTAACCTTATAAAATTTCTAACTTTGAACTGTAGAGCACCTTGTAATTTACAACTTTTATTTTTTACTTCTCAAGCCACTTCCGAGTAATTATATCAATTATATCACCACCTATTACTGAATCATAGACTAATATACATTTTTGTTTAATATAAATACGACTGTGCAGCTTCTGAACATGATTTCGTCGGTAAAGAAAACTTTCATACATTTATTCCCCTT